CCTTCAGCCTCTACTAGCAGGCCGGTGGCTCGAGTGCACGCCTGGGCGACGGTGGAGGGACCGGCCAGCTGGGATAGCTGACAAGAGGGCTGCAGATCCCACAGCTTGTTTGCTTCGGTCGTGAGCAGAACATTTGGGAAACGTTTGACTGAAACATTTAACAACCCCTTTTATGACCCTTCCAAAATACTGTATCATGTCTGTTTCGATTGGAAATTTGTCGTGTATTCTTAGTGGTTAAATCTGAACTAGTGCTACTACCCATAAGTATGCTCTCCTCTGCTGCACCCACTTGCAAATTCAGTTGACTTCAGTTGCCTGTGCCTTTTTTTTTTTTTACACCCATTTGGTACCATGAAATTTCCTCCATGTCCATCTCTTCCTTACAGTAACTGTTATATTTCCCAGATTTCCTCTCTGTTGTTTAGTTTCAAGGGTTTAAATTCATGAAAAAGGTGGTAAGAACATTAACTGGTTTTGTCTCATGCAAATAATTTAAAATCTTTACAGTATTTAAATGAGATTGCAAGCAGCATTTGTATTTTTGAGCAATAAATAGTCTTTTTTTTTGTCATGAAAGTGTGAATTACTGATGGAGTTAAACCTGACAATTGTTGGAGGTTAATATTTAACTGCAGGGTCTACTGAAATGGCTGCACATGTGGAGAAATACACAAAGCATTAAGTGAAATGCTCATGTTTGCTTGATTTATTCTCTGCAGCAGACGGACTCTGGTAGTGGGAGGTGTAATTTGCAGCACATTAGCTATTAGCCAGTGTCATTGCTTGAGTGGGTGGTGTGAGCCTCTAGTGCCTGCAGAGTGTCATACTGCGCATGTGTCAGAGCCGGGTGCTTCTCCCCTGTGCTCCAAGATGAATGTTTTGTGAACTGTGTTCTGGGTTTGAAACTGTGAATCTGCCAGTTTTCAAATGGGTTATTTTGTCACATGGAGAATATCCAGAGTAAATGCTGGGTATTTTTGTGGATATATCCCTCCCCTCTCCCCAGTTCTCAGTGTTTTGCAAAACTGACTTGTAGAAGTGTTTGACTTTCCTACCTTTTTTGGTATGCAATCCCCTGAGGATGAAGTCTGTAATTTGCAAGATACCCAGCAAAATCATGCCAGTGTTTCTTATCTGGGTACTCTATGCATGTGCTAGTGGTGTTCAGCAGAGGTTTTCCGAACGAGTCTCAGCTTGATGCATCTTTTTGTGTGTGTGTGTGCACAATTTCACTTGGGTTGCTTTTAGTTCACTTTTTTCCCTAGAGGCACCTGTCTCCTGCCACATACCCATCAAGACTAATTGCACCATCTGGAAGACTTTAGTGTAGCTGTTACTGGTGCAGAATCCCTCTCGGGAGCTTAATTCGGAATGCGAATGTGACCCCTGAAGCCATGTCAAGTAGCTGCAGCAGTTTCTGGTGTCTAAAAGATGATCACCGTAGGGTTTATTTGTTTCAAGTCTAATGCGGTTTGCTTTAGTGTGGAGATGTTACATGTCAGTAACACAACTTCAGTCATGTTTGGAGTGGAATTAGACTTTGACTGCTGGTTTGGTAGTTCATAGAAAATCCTGTCTAAAATTACATACAAACCATACAGAACATACAGGCTATCTGATTAGGTGTAGAAATGACAGACATGTTGCTCCTTATTATTAAACTATTTGATTTTTATGTCCTGTTCTTCCCCCCACCCACAGCTGCACTGCTCATTAATGGTTTTAAGCTAAGAAGGCAAGGTGTTCATTGCTAGCAGTGTTGCAACCCCCCTGAACAGCTCTGAGCTCTTGTTTTTGTTATTGCTGTGAAACTGTTGGAGTATTTTCAGTGCAGGTGATTTTCTGCTTCACTTCCTCACCTAGTCTAAATCAGGTAAAAGTACTGTAGTGCTTCAGGTCTGGCGGTGTCTGTCTAGGCAGTGGCTTATTTAAAGGCACACATTTCTTCTCTACTGCTGTGTAATATCCTGTCCCTTGGCAAGCTGTAGAGCACTGGGCATGAAAAACCAAAGTGTTCTGATTGTTAAAAGTATCACCATAATTTGCAATATTTTGTTTAAAAAAAAAAATTGTTATTCATTTCTTAAGGGATTCTGCATTTAGTAACACACTCTGATTTTACCACTATACATATGTGGAAAAAAAGCAATATTTTTCTAAAACCACTTTTCTTTAAAAATGGAGTTGTTAATAGGGTTAAGGAAATGTATTTGTGTTTAGTTGCATCATCTGTGTAACTTGTGTGGTTGTGAGTAATGTGGTCAACTGAAGTTCAAGTGAAGTACTTACATCACCACAAACAATTATGAATTCTGTGTACAGGATGTATACACACTGTATATTATTCATTATATGTATTTTCTGTTTTTTTTCCTGGGTAGTTTAACGTTTGTTGTGGGTCTGACTTTGGGAATCTGTAGAGTTTTAAGTTTTGGTTTATGTTTTAACTGTCTTGGCTGCATTCTGTTCACTGTATTTTGGAACCTGGTAAGAAAAGTTGGGGGATTTTGTGTGCTTGATGAGAACAATGGTGTGCACATTATAAGTTCACAGAATGGTGAAGGCAAGCAGCTGTCTCCTCCTCCTTAAAATCCCTCACTACATGTACCCACTTAAACAAAAATAAAGGTGCACGTTGCAGGGCCACAGTGTGTGCTCGTGGGAAGAGATCTGAGCTGCACAAGTTTTCCTGGCTTTGAGTGGCTGGAAATCATTTCTGCTCTGAGAAGTTATATGGTATCTTCCTTTCACTGTTTTTTATGCTGTTTTAGTCAGGGTTGTGTTGTTGGGGATTTTTTTTTTTTTTTTTTTTTATGCATGAATCTTTGAGGATGGAAGAAGTGAGAGCTGGTGGCTCTACAGCATGGTTTCTCCTCAGCAGGTTATGTTTGACTCTCATGCTTCCACTAAAATATTGATTACCCACGTTCTCCTGATTTTCAGAAACATTTTAATTGGCTTATTTTAAGAGAGCTAGCAAGGTAATTTGTTAATTGCTATTTGCATTTTACTGATCTGTTAAGAGGGACTAACATTTAATTGCATTATTGCAGATTAGGATTGATGGTTAGTGCTTGGTTTGGCTTAATTTCAGCTTTGACTGTACATGTTTGGTATCCACTTGGTTCTTAAAACCTCAACTTAGTTGAACCAAACTCTGTTACTGTCTGAGGGTGTACGCACTTGCTCTCTCTTTTGGAAATTTGGCAGAAGTTGATACCTTCTCTAGCATCACGGCTGCCGGTGTTGCTGAGTGCAGGGTGTAGTGCTGCCAGTGCGGGTACCCTCCACCTCTACCTTGTCCTGCGTGGGCCAGCCTGTTAGCCTGCAGGTGAAGCAAATGGCATGTGGGCATGTTGGAAAGGCACAGAACAAAAAGCCATGGCCTCATTTGGGTCATTAGACCCCACTGTGGATTGTGGTGGAAAGCCACACTAGCCATACTGGCCTTCTCTGAAGTTAACCGTTAGTGGTGTTTGCAGGCTGTAGCTAGCTGTAGGGCTTCTCTGGAGGGGGAAGTATTAGCCTGGAATCAGTGCAGGTGTGAAGGTCAAACCCAGTACCTGTCCAGTTCCAGCTACTTGGGCAGACCTGCTCATTCTCCTAGAGCTTTTTGAGATGTGTAGTTTGGGCCATTTCCCCATCGCTGTAGAAAAGGTTGTAAAGACTCGAGAAAAGAAGTCAGGATTTTTTTTAATTTTTTTTTTTTCAGTAGCACAAGAGCTTTCACACAGAAGGGTGCTATTTAAAGTATTATTTTTTTAATGTTTGTATGTCTGTGTAAATGAAATAGTATACTGAAGATATTCTTGTGTGGTGAAGTGGTATAAATGTAATGAAAAAAATCCAAAGGAAACTTTATGGTTGCATCTACTGGTTTCTTTATTCAAATATACTTCCAAGATCAACATCTTAGATTTTCATTCATATGTTTTACAGACAGTTCTGTTTTGATTTCCTTCAGTTATTAGGGCTAAAATTACACTCTGGAATAAAGTGAGTTGAAGTGATTAGTAATCTGTGATGTAGTTCTTTATATGATTTATTTAACAAATATTTAGATTATATCAGAGATATGGGCTCATATTTACTCAAAAATATTTTACAGATGTAATAGCATCTGGACTGTGTTATCCTTTCTTCTAGCTGTTTAGCCTTATTGATGAACATAGGAAGTAGAAAGCAGCTTGACAAGGGCAGGAAGCATATGTTTGGAGACACTGCATTCAAAAAGGAAAGCTAAGCTTGCTTTAGAACAGGTTAATTTCTGAGATGGTGTATCTGAGTGGTCATTTAGAATTGCTTTCAACAGATATGCTTTTGGGGGCAGTTTCCTTCTGACCCCAAATTTAAAGGGGCAGAATTTGAAACAGTTCTTTTTTTTTTCCCTAAAAAAAAAAAACAAAACAAAAACAAAACAGCCCATCTCTACTTCATTTCTGTCTAACTTTTATTTTATGTTTTTCATCAATTTCTGCAACGTCTGTTCCTGATATTCTTAGACATGTTGTATGTATTGTGCAGTCTGTGTATAACCACTCTGATCTAAATGGTTTTCTTTCAGTAGGTTGTAGATTTTGGTTGTACCTTTCCTCCTTTCCCTTTCTTATCTTGAAGTACAAGGCTTCTTTTGGCTTTTTTGTACTTCAGACAACAAACTGAAAGCTCTTATGTTCCTGTTACAGCAGATCGCGTTGAATTATTCTGAAATATTCCTTTCATGGCATGACATGAAATGCAGGATATATGCTGCTCCTTGGAAATAAACAGGATTTAGTCCTGAATACTTGCTTTTCTCTGCAGTAGTATTTGATTGTGTCAGGTGAAGGATGACAAAAGATCATGATTGATAATTGCAGCTTATTTCCATGGAACAGTGAATATTAAAAGACTTGAAGAAATAATGGCAGTGTGAGGTCTGAGCCTGTCTTTCCACTTTGGTACAACCAGTGAAAATGGATTGTGAAAACATGCCTTTTTTTCTTTCCTTTTTGCAGGGGTTTTGTATACGATAGCCGGAATAATTTACAGATGCGAGGTTTGGTCGTATTGCTTATTTCCAAAGCTGCTGGACCCAGCACGGCAGAACTCTCTTTCCAGCACAGCATGGTCAGTGGAATTTATTCCAGGTATGTAGTAACTTTCTTCAGCAAGATATACCAAGGTACGTTTGATGGTCAACTCTGTGATGGTATCAAAGCATCTTAAGTGGCCTGCTCCACTGTTAAGGAAAATCAGTACTTACCTAATCATGAAACTTCGTTCCTCGGGGTTATTATAAGCTTTCCATGGTGAAAACCATTTTCAACTTTTTGTATAGCTCTTGTAATATCCACACCTATATCTTAGTTGTGGCTTTTGGGCATGACCAAATTAAAAACATTTGAATCAAGATAGTTATTTGAAAGTTTATGTTAAGACATACTCACAATCACAAAAGTAAAGATGCTAGAAAATATTTTTAATAGAGTATTTTCATTTTTGAGTTACTCATGTTGCTTGGGTACACCTCCTTACTAGCAATTTCAGAGTCAGTTTGCCAGTCTTGTGGAATACCAGTGGGTTTCAGGACAAGGGGCAACAGGTACAAACTGAAGCACAGGGAAGTTCCATCTGAACATGAGGAAGAACTTCTTCACTCTGAGGGTGATGGAGCCCTGGAACAGGTTGCCCAGAGGGGTTCTGAAATCTGCTTCTCTGGAGATATTCAGGACCCGCCTGGAGGCAGTCCTGTGCAGCCTGCTGTAGGTGCCCCTGCTTCGGCAGGGGGGGGGGGCTCGAGGATACCCAGAGGGCCGCTCCCCCCCCGAACATTCTGTGATTCTGTGATTCACTGAGCATATAAGTTTTGCTGTAGCATTTTTTGAGGATATATTCCTGTGAAACAGCGAAGTAGAATAGTTTTTACCTCCCGTGTGTCGCAGAATTGCTGAGCCTACCGTTAAGGTTCCTCATGCTCTCACTGAGCTAATGCAGCTTCATCAAGATCCTAAATATGTTTTAAAGTAGTTTAACTGAATTACTTAATACTAATAACAACAGTAATCAAAAATAGTGGTTGCTGTCCTTTGTATATTTGACAGTTAACTGTTCTACTGAAGTAAGAAGTGAGATCTGGTTGAAAAACTGTAAAATTTGAGTGTTTGAAATCCTTTTGAAAAACTGTGAGTGTTGCTTGGTTGAGGAAACAGACTGTCATATTTTCAGTTAATTGTGTTTCTGACCATTGTGATGTATTAAATGAAGATACATGAGCTTATTGACATGTTTGTATCCTGATTTCCGTTACAGTTGTAGAGATAGCATTGTAAAATTGTAAAGACCAAACAAATAAAGATGTTAAAATGTATATAGTATCTTAAAATAACAGAGAAGGAAAATATGTATGAATGGGTAATGACAGAAAAAACAAGTAATAAGAAAAAAGACAAGACTGTAAAAGACTCTTGTTATGGAGGCCTGTGTTGTCCCTTTAGCTGTTTAATTCCATTCTTGTTTTGTTTCATCCTTAATGTTCCCTTAGGGTTGTAAAATTTTTATATGCAAATGATGCTGTATGAAAGCGTAATTCTAGTTAGTTAATTATGGCACAGGAGGTATTTTAGTTTGTTTTGTAAATGATTAAAAAAGTTTACCTTAAGTATACCTCATAAAAGAAGAGGAAAAAGCATTATTTTTTGATAACTGAGTTCTTGAGTATGATGATTCTGACCATGGAGGTAACGTTTGAGCGTTTAAAGCTGCCATTGGGAAGGTGACTAGTGGAAGTATTCATTAAGGAGCAAGTAAGTCCTTGAATTAATAATGAGCCAGTTGGTGTAAATGGACATCATTGGAACTGTGCCAGTTCAACCAGCTGAAAATCTAGCCTAATAATCTAAGTTTGAGCAAGTCAATAGCCATTATAATACCTAGTTCAGAGTTACAAAGGTACTCCAAAAATGAAGCAGTTTTGAATACACCCACACAGGTTCACTTAAGGTTCATTACTGTCTGCAAAAGTGATAACTATGGAGTTGTTAATTCAAATGGATTTTCAATGACACTTAGAATCTGTAGCACGATGTAAATATGCGCAAACTGATGCACGCTAGGAGAATGCTGATGCGTTGTTTCATTTTGTGCCACAGTGGCCAGTTTGTAGTGGCCTCCACTGAAGTTGCTGTGGCCTTTGCCTTTGACTTTAGACTTCTTTCTCTATTTAAGGTACTTTTTCAAATACACTAGTCTAGTTGTATACTAGGAGTATACTGGGAGTCTAGTCTCTGATTTTGATTTCTCCATTGTGTAAATCTAAGAGAACAGACAGCTTGTAAAATTGTGATCTTAAAGGGCTTTTGTGATTGTTTTATGTATTACAAAGTGTTTTACAAACTGCTTTCTCCTGAATAACAACAAAAGGACATCATTTTCCTTTAGTACATTTCTGTCTGTTATCTCAGTTACTGTGTAATTATATATGTTGTGTATATTAGACATACATATCAAAGGCAAAGTATATCCCTCAGTGATATGAAGTGAAGAAATATTCTTAATCCTTTATTGTTCATATACGTCTCCAGCTTTGTAAAGTATTTTTTGGAAATAGATTTGTACAGATTTTTCAACTCAGCTGTAAACTATATAGCTCCTTTTGTTGCCATGCCATATAATTACTTCATCTTTATATATAATATTTTGCTGGAAATATTATTTCTGGCACTGTAATGAGCATCTTCATTGCTTGATACGTGCTGTGAACGTCACATTGTGGACTATTAGTTGGGATATGGCTCACTTGATTTCAGGGTACTTAGTAGTGATTAATTAATTGCATTCCTGAAATTTGAGCATGAGCTAAGTTGTTCCAGTACTTGTCAGCAATTGCACCAGCCCAGTCTTTCTTTTCCCACTGTTTGTGTTGGAATCAGCTCTTGTGCTTTCTTTGAATGCTCAGTCCCACAGTGGATAGCCAGGTTACGGCAGTCCGTTATATCTGGTGCTATGCTAAACATACAAAACCACAAAAACACATGGTGGACTTTTTCATCCTGGAATCTGGCATCTTCTGCATAACCTCTTCTCCCCATTTCATGTTCTTGAATCACAATATAAGCAAGCAATACAATAACTATAATTAAAACCGAAAGACAGTGAGAGCTGAATTTGGAATAGCCAGAATTTTTTTTTAATCATTTTCTCCTGATCTCTAGATATGGCAATTCATGGGACAATTGACCTAAATGCATAAAAATAGATTTGCTAGCTGCTTAGCTGGCATCTGCTTTTTACTGGTACACAATGGAACAAAACTGGTGCCTGCTACCAGAGAGCAATCTTTTCCAGAATAATGAGGATTACATTTTAGGTAGTTACAGGAACAGGGCTAGTGTAGTTATATGATGCTGCCTCTGGCTGGCATTGCCTCCAGCTTTAGCACTTCGTAATTTGCTGGAGATGTGATCTGCCCGCATGAAGCTGGGATGTTAGGAGTCATTGTATGCAAGGATGTCGTAGTAACTGCCTTGCGAACCATGCTGTAGATAAAGGGGGAAGTGGCATGCTTTACTCTGTACAGCCACATCCCTATCACGTTGCCAGCAACCTAACTTTATTCCTGTTAGTGGGGATAAGAACCTGGCCTTACTTCCAGCTCAGTACCAGTGATCCTAAAAGAGGATGAAGAGGAGAAGTAGCAGTGTGATAAACTCTATTTCAACTGCTGGACAGGTTTCCTGAAGTTGAAACTTTCTGCTGGTCTCCTAGCTTTAAGGAAAGTATTTTCTTGGCTACGGAAGCATTGCAAATGTGATGAAGTGCAGTGCTCACTACAAAGTATGCAAGCAGTATCGTGTAAGGGTTGATGTCATTGCCTGTACTCAAGCAAAACGTGCATCTCGTATTCCCTTGAAACTCCTGCCTACTTCTGCGCTGAAGAGAAAGCAGAACTCGCATTTGGGTTTAGGCAAAGTCTAAGTAATGATAATTTATCATGTTAATGGTATCAGAGAACACCTTAGATGTGATACAGAAGCCTCGAGCTTCGTAAGAGCTTTGAGACCCGTTTCCTAACTGATGGTTATACTAGAGTCTGACACTCCTCTCTGACTTCTTTCAGGACAAAACTGACTTGGATAGTCAAGTGTGCAGCTTGCTGTTCTTTTACTTTGCTGCTGGAAGCAAGGTTTTGGATTGAAACTCCAAGATCATATGTTTCTGAACCCTTACAGCTTTGTGCTTTATAGTTGGAGCTAGATTCTTACAGTTGAAGATACCAAGACTGGCTTAAATGCTCTCACTAAATACCCAAAGGGGTATCTTTTTGTGTTCATGTCTGGCACTGCCAGACACTACTGGCTGGGGACTGAGGAATCTCCTTGACTTTATACTGACTATGAATTCCTCACATGACCTCTATACTGCAGCTTAAAATGCAAGTGACACCATCTCTTCAGGCCTCAGTATCCTTGGCTCTAATACAGCAAGTTGTTTTCTTCTCTCTCTCATGTTTTGCATCTTTTTTTTTTTTATGTTAGTGCCAGTTTCAAAAATACCCTCTAGCACTAACATCCATTGAGTCAGCTCTGCAGATTTCCTTGGACCCTTGTCAGAGGTTTACAATAAAAAAAGTCTTTTTTTCAGTTAAATCTGCCTGTGCATTCACACTGGTGAATCCTATGGTCGTTGACAAATAAAGACCTTTTTATTCTACCAGACTCAGCGAGTGTCTGTCTCTATGTGTGTGGAATGGAATATAGAAAGTACTATTTCAGATCTGTATTAAAACCTGGTAGATGAAGCAAGAAGAGTGCTGGATTGGTACTGTCAATACTGGGCTCTATCCGTGCCTTTTCTCCCTCAGAATGGTCCCTCAACTGGCCTTTAAAGCTGCAGGAATTAATCTCTTGCAAGATTAACATGCTTTCCTACAAGAAGGTGGTTCTCACTGGATAAACTTGTCTCTGAATCGGATTTCTTCCTGTTGCTTGAAATAGTGGAGGTAATACTGTAGTGACAATAATCATGAACATATACTCCTTTTGCTTACTGTTTTCGTAATGATTTTGGAACTAGCATTGATGATGCTTCCAACAAAAACCCAACTGAAGTGGAAGTTATCAACAGATGCCAACTCCTTGTTGTGATGATG